AAAAAGTATATAAGGGCATGGGAACGTCAGGTCAATGTCCAGATCATAAGTATAATCATATCAATATCACCGAGAGCTACTTTAAGATCAATCGCTCGCCCTCGCTGACGATACTAGTTAGTCAACTCATACATACGTTTTTGCAGATATAATAATGGCCTCCTACGCTATTACAGGTGCTTCCAGGGGGATTGGGGTAAGTCCTCATTTGAATTCGAAGGTGGCAGGAACCAGCGATGGCCATTCAAAGATTACATGGAGCTGTGGTCCTATTGCGCTTTGTTCTATGGGGATAATGCGCTGATATAATCTTGTTCTGGGTATAGTTCGCATTTACCAAGCATTTGGCCCAAGATCCTTCGAACACCGTCTTCGCACTGGTCCGTAACGTCAATTCCTCCCCGCAACTCACGGACCTCGCTGCTTCCCACCGAAACGTCCACATCCTCAAAGGCGATGTGACTTCACCCAGCGAGCTCGCTGCCGCCGCCGATGCAGTTTCAGAAATCACTGGCGGGACTCTCGATTACCTCATCGAAAATGCAGCTCTCATGCTGAGTGAAAGCTCTAGCTTCATATTGACCGACCTGATCGGTGATGCAGAGAAAACTAAAGTATTCGGCGGGGACATGCAAATTAGCATCGAAAGCAATGTTATGTCCGTCGTTCATACCACAAATGCTTTCCTACCGCTGATTAAAAAGAGCAAGATTAAGAAGATTGTTGTGCTCAGCTCCGGGATTGGAGATATCGAGGGAGTGGTTACCTGGGGATTGAAGGATAATGTACCATACTGCGTTTCGAAGGCGGCGGTGAATATGGTGGTGGCAAAGTATTCAACTGCTTTGGCTGAGGACGAGATTACAATCGTGGCCGTCAGCCCGGGTTTGGTTAGGACGCAGACACAAGATTGTAAGTTTATATACTCTGAGACCAATATTGCCAGGTATATGTATGCTGGTCAGGGAGCCGAACCGAAGTCAGACTAACAGGATTATGACAGGGGCCCCGCAATTTTACGAGAATATTACCAAGGTCTTCCAGAAGAACAAGCCATCCTTCGATGGACCACTTTCGCCAGAAGATAGTGTCAGCATGATGTTGGAGACGGTGAGCAAGTTGACCTTCAAGGATACGGGCAGGTTCATGAGCCACCACGGCAACAAGGACTGGCTTTAAATTATCGATCTATATATAAGTACCTAGCTAGGTAGGTAGATGCCACTGCTGCCGCCGCCGCCGTTGATTGGTAATCTACATGCATTACGCGTATACGTAGTACTACTCAGAACACCATATGGCCATGTATCATGTATGTAGAAAGTACCGATAGTTTATTATAGTATATTAACTGTAGGATTTATCTTTCCTCGTACCAAGAACATAAAAGGAATTAACAGTAGCAATATATGGGCCATGCTATGCTATGCTGACATGCGTGCTACGTATATGTAGGATAAGCTATTTAGAACGTCTAGAACCGTATGGAGAGAGAATATTAATATGTGTTGAAGATGTTGCATTTCCCCTTTCGCCCACCGCCCCCCGCCCACAAATGTCAGTGCGCCGTTGAACAGGCTTTGCCATTGCCAGCCAGCCAGGACGTACCGAAACCTCAGGCCGGCCGAAACCTCAGGCCGGCCGGTCCAGTCAAGTTCCAGCCCAGCCATGTCTCGCTGCGTCTTAGTAACGAGGCCGAAGGCAAACCAGATCAATCCACGGGATCATAGACCTGGCCGTCTCAACCTATCATCGTCCAGCTACGACACTTCCAGAGCATCAAGACACCAGACGAGTTTGATGGCCGATTGTAGCCACGATCACGCAGAGCTTATTGGCGTTCTGACTTTGTATGTACCTACTTTCTAGCGTCCGCTTTTCCACCGACCATATCCCCTCCCTCCCTCCCTCATTGCTTGGTTGGCAAGCAGGGTGTGCACGCAACTGGTCCGCCTGGTGATTCACGTCCTCAACGGGTCCTTTTTAGTACTCTCGGGGGACATCTCGGTGAAATATTGCACATTGCATGTCTCGAACTCCACAGCTGACATCACCGATGTGCCCTTTCCCTGTATGACAGTTCTCGCGGAAAGTCGCCGCCCAGGCTTGAAAGCTTCTTTAAGTCTCCCCACCCCCCCTGCTACCATCGGATCGTGACCCAGAATGCCCAAACGAGCATGCGACGGTTGCAGTATCCGAAAGATTCGATGCGACGGCGTGCAACCATGCCGAGCTTGCTCAAAGGCGGGGTTACCTTGCACCTTCCTTAAGGCATTGAGAAAAGGTGGTCCCCGAAAGCCAACTGCCCGAACTATCGAAGCAATAAAACGGACACAGGAGGAATACACCCGAGATTTGGACTCTGACGGACTCCAAATCAACCCTCCTGCAGCTGGACCGGTGGACGACGAAACCGAGCCCGAATCTACAGAACAAACTCCCTTAGGTTCGCCGTTACGAACCTTCCAAAATCCTAGTGCAGGGTACTCAAATGGAATCAATAACCTCCCGAATCTCGGCCCAAGTTTTACATATCTGGAAGCGGAGCAAAATGGAATCGGCCTTGGACACGGGCTCTCAAGTACTACAAAATATCCCACGCCCGTCTTGGCGATATATCTCGAAATCTATCACCATCGCTTATATCCAGTATGGCCGATATTGAAATGGGAGCCGCTGCTGGCTGAGTTAGAAGCGCGGCCGGATGACCCTGAAATTTATGCTCTTGCTACAGCACTAGCGTCAGCCGTCATGGGCCAACTGCAGCTCCCACAATGGACAGAGCCGTACCTGGATCCCGAGACGCAGGTCGCGAAGACCATAATTGTTAGTACCGAACATTTTGCAGCAGAAGCTCTAAGGGCAAGGAGATTATTCGAGTGGAGGGAGCGTCCCGGAATATACGCCATTCTCACAAGCCTTTTCTTTCACGTCTACTATGAAAATTTGGGAAAGGTGTCGGCCTCTTCATTATCGTTACGTGAAGCAATAACGTTTGTACAGATCATGAACTTGGACCGGGAGAGCGGCTACAACGGTCTCTCAATGGAAGATGCGGAGCTGCGGAGAAGATTATTTTGGCTGCTCTTTGTTACAGAACGGTTGGTCTTATCCCACACGTTATCGGCGACCCGTGCCGACCAATCGCTAACTGGCATATTTCAGTGGACATTCGATAGTACATGATCTCCCTTTCGTATTAAATAAAACGATCAAACTACCTTCCCCAGACATCGATAAGGAGCCACTACTGGCAAGTTTCATGAATTTGGCTAGCTTATTCGCAAACTTCGACAAGTCGGTTATCGATGCATGGACGTCTCGGAATACGGATGAAGCACCGTCATTAGAGCGACTACTCCAACTTCAAAGCAACCTTAAGCAGGTCCACCCCCATAAAACGCATACAAATGAGGTCCAAAAAGCAGACGTTCTCGTTACGAAACATTGGATGAGGACGCTAGTATGGCAAGTCAGTATGCAACAGGGATTCCTCGCTGGGTCGACTGCGAAGGATGATGAAGCTATGACTTTGTCGTTCCCATTGAAGATTGCAGAGGAGCTGCTGTCAACATTATCGCATATATCGCGTGGTGCTATCGAATCACATGGTCCCGGAATGGCAAGTAATCTTCTCCACATAGTCCGTGTAGAACATCGATATTCTAATCAACATTGACTTATAGCAATCCAAGCTTTTTGAGATAACCAACTCATTAGCTGATGTTATACTCTGCATCCCTAATATCAAGACATTACAATCCACCACAGGATTGACTCCTTGGGCGCCGACCCCGGTTGATTATTTGAAAAGCCTTGTTGATCTCCTACACTTTAGGACATCCTCAAACCCCCAGCTGCTAAGAATAATTTTATCGAAAACATCGTCGATATTGTCGCCTCCGGACCCTATGCGTGATCAGAGGCTATTGGAGCTACCGAGTTCCACACGGCCCTCTCCGGAATCACCGCCTTCTAATGAAAGTACACCAACACCTACAATCGATGAAGCCATCATGATGCCCATGCCCACACCAATCGAAGACACGGTTGGTATTGATTCAGCGGCCATTTTAGCTACGGCTACTAGCTCACTTGAGGCCGAGCCTACAATCGGCCTTATATACCCACCGATTGATATGATGGAATACACAACGACCACAGCTAGTCCTACAACCCCGAACCTAGCACCAATAGTATCCAATCTTAACAGTCCCGTCGTCACACCACCTACCGCAACCACAGGTTCTATCCTCGAGCAACCGTACTTTCCAGCAACTTATGGAACGCAGGAGTTATTAACATCACCGCCATCTGGGCTCGATGTATCCTGGATTCTTGCAGATGCTGCGAATGAATGGGGTGCTGGAACCGATCCACCCGGCTACGTATCCAACCTCAGTAGCGCTGGAAAAAGCGAAGGTCAGAGGGTACGAAATTGGATGAACGGCATCAATATTTCTCAGTCCGGTTCGCCGACCCAGTAATATGTTTGAAACTATACGCGCATTACAATGCAAAAAAAACGAGGAGTATTTTATTCATAGTAGCCAGTGCATTTGTATCGTTCGGGAAAGCAAAAGTTTACGGGGTAGTTTGGAGCATAAGGATAAGTAGTTCGAGGAACTTAGGGACGTATATATACATAGTGTTCGTATCCACGTCATTGTATTATTCTTTCAGTAACGACATTGGGTTTTCTTTTTACTGTTTGGGGCTCACCCATGCTGTTTTTTCCGGGGGCGGAGTTGGTATAATTGATTTTCCTTATTTGTGGGACATTGTCGCAGGCCCCTTTGCCAATGACACTAGGCGATCTAGGCATTTAATTTGATATATAACCTACCCTTTCAAAGATAGATTTATACTACGAGACTAGATTCGAACTAGAATCAAGTGCTGAGGTACCTTTGGTGCTAGTGGGAGCTAGATGCGGGGTGCCGGCGCAAATCTTACCCCGTTGTAACAACCACTAAGGAATATCAACATCATTTGTTAAAGGCCGCATGGTGTAACTGGTAGCACAATCCGATTTGGCCGGATAGATGTCGATTCGATCCCGACTGTGGCCCTGAATTAAATTATCCTTTCTTTTGTTTTTTAAATCTGCGTTCTAAGATAGGACATAATTTATAATAGGGTAAGTCTAGACTCTAAATTCGCTGAGTACGAGCGATGTATTTACGGCGTATTTCTAATGTTGAGGGTTTATGCCGTTAGAGGTGCTTACATCTATACGTTGCAGATCTAAGGCCGTTTCTTTGTTTCTAAGATTCCTCTGACGTCTTTTCTGCAGCTGTTAGAAAGTGAATGCATTTTCATGCATTTTTTGGTTCCTTTATACTTGCGTACACCCTAGCCTCGAATCCAGGCAGATATGGATAATATTATGTACGCCTTCCAAGGCCGCAAGTGTCTCTTTTTGTTAGGGATCAGTTGTACATCCCTCTAATCCCTATTCATATTATTCCAGAGGTCTCCAGCCTCTCTTCTCTCTTCGCCCACCATCTTCGTTCTATCATCTTTGCCCTCGTGAATTCAGCGGGACCAGCTGGGTTCGGGGGCATCACAACGCACGATATGCAACACAACTCTTTGAGGCAGGTCTACCGTCTAGGGCTCAGACTCCAACATATGTAAAGGCAAAGCGATGCGAAGGATTAATTAATTGTGACATCTCCGTAAATATAGGGGCTAAGCTCGAGATCGAGTTTAATAATCTACTACCCCTAGAATCATAGATAGTGATATATATCAGGATCCTTTTTTATAGTTGCATATGTGTATCTAGTACACCTCTTTGATGATGTAAGACAGGCTTTCAGTGCAACTACTTCGGACAGTTTGATGTCATATAAATAAATATTCTACGGCCATATGCACGGGCCAAAGCTCTAATCTGATAGCCTAAGCCGTACAAATATCGTCTTTCAGGCTGCCTTACAAAAACAAGTCTTGTCGCCAGAGCTCTCCATACACAAACTAGTCCCTTTCGCCGGGTATATCGATATATGTCTATGCAGGGCCAGGACAGTATAGATATGAAACGAGCGCCGCTTACTTTAATGTTCCATAGCATAACCAAGAGAAAGCCGAAGGACTTAGAAAATTGTCTGGAATGTCTAAGACAAGACCCGAAAGATTTGGTGTACTATTATAGATTTTAAACTATAGCTGCTTAAACCTATACCTATCCCTTGATTCATCGATCTTGTGTTATTGACCTGCATAAAATCCTGGCTATAGTTTGCAACTCGGCGTATGCGACGTGGTATTCTTGCGACTTGTGTCACAGCTAACCCATGGATGTATCCATGGGTGTCTGGCACCCTGTGCCTGCAGAGGTTGCGACCCAACGCGCATGATTGCCTAAGCTGATATGATTGAATAGAAGACGTCTGAAATTTATCAAAAACCCACACACGTGGTAATGCGCCGCGAGGTCAAGGATGTATAAATTTCTGGTCGAACGCCCGTTTGGTTGGACGCGCCTGGCCTAGTTGGATCCTTGAAAGGGTGAAAACTGCTTATGGTGACAGGCGTGCTGATGTATATAGGGCTTATGCCGATCATTGATCAATGGTACCTTCCATATATAGTCCAAACTACTCGCTGGCTCAACCAATATTGGTCATGTAGCTGGACAATGGCCTGCGGCCTAAACATGTTTTGACATAATAGCCAGTAACAGCCTTTGGTTAACGAATCGATCCCGTGAGTTTATACACTTAGGCATGGGTGATGCTACCGTATACTGTAAATTTATAAATAGATGGGTGTAATTTTAGGGGTAAAATTTGTTTCTGCCAATGGGTGTAAATATTTGCTGTAGTCTACTAATCAAAGACTGAGATAGAAATAATCATTTATAGTGTATGATTGAATATTCGAATGTGATGTTGGTGTATGGTCCTCTCGAGCTCTTACATTTAGATGCAGCCATAGTTATCCTACAGCTTTGGAGAATATATACACGGATATACACAGAGATGTAGGGCAACTAGCTCTAACTAGTGAAGAAGCTCTAGTCTCAGGTAATTATGAGATCGACTTCTTGGGATCCTAAAGCAAGCTAATATCAATATCATTTGGTTTTTGAGGCTTCGCTGACGAACCCAAAGATGTACCGCGCGATCATATATTGTGGAGTTTCAAAAACACCTCAATGGGTTTCAATCAAATGCGTATACGACCGGGTTCCGACGTTTATGAGAGCATGGAGGTATATCAAAAATATGTATACATGCACGCTATTATGTGCGGCAGAATTCAAGGGTTCCTTGGAACTACTGATCTAGTTAATTGCGGCCCTTTCGCTACAGTGAGTTGCAAGGTATGTGTGTGACTGCAGCTCAGAAAGGATGAAGGGTATGTTTGTCGGCATTTTCTGATCTAGCATCCACTGTTTCGCAGAACATCTGAACAAACAAAGTGTAATCAAAGAAAGAAAAAACGGAAAAGGGAGAAGTGACATGAGTCAAGGGTCGGATGTAGTAGTTGGGAATGTTTGGGTACGATAGGCCCGTTTTCTCCGGTGTCACAGGGCCCACATTCTCCGCTCGTGCGACATCAATTTTTTTGGTGCATGCCCAGTCAACATAGTTTGACCTTTAGCCGTTTAGCCAAAAAGGCTCGCTCACAAAACCCACTTCTTCTTTTTTGGAACCGAGCTTTGCCAATCCGGAGAGGCGTTTTGCTTAGCATAGTCTTGTATAAGCTTATTTGCTCCGAACTTGAAAACCCATCCATGTAATCGCGACGTCGAGGATCCCTTGATCCCCATGGATCCGACGCTGTCTTGCAGGCCGATGATCCACTTCATCAACTGATTTTCACGGCTACCCGGAACTACCATGATCCCCAAAGTAGGAGGATAGCAAGGCGGGGGAATAAAAAGCGACATTAGCCTAATCCAATAAAATGATCCAGAGAATGTTTCGATCCTAGTGTGGTATTTCTTGCTGATGAATCTTCTTAACAGCCGGGTATGGTGATGTAAGGTTAGGCAACCGTTATCAACTACTCCTCTTACTGTGACACTAGGAATTTTAATGCATATGCATTGTAATAAATCAGTCGTTACTAGTCGATCAAATTCTCTGGGGCTCAGGTGGACGAGTTAATATGATCCTCTCCCACCGGTTGCCCAGGGTGGCTTGCTGTGAGGGAGTTCCTCGATACCGAAGAACAAGTATTTAAAGAACCCATGGCTGCCGATGTTTTCTTCGAAAGTTTTGATAACTGCTCCAATCTGGCTTTTCTTCATTGTATAGGGCGACCCCTGTAGCTGAGATCACACAAACTCCTTTCCTATAAAATGGTTGCTGGCGGCAGCGGTAAAGAGTTCGAGGCGTTCTCGAAGCGCAGAGCTCAATTCTCCGGCCCTCCGGGTATCAAAGGATTGATACAAAACAGTAATGTGTTCGCGATTTCAGTTTTCGCTTCATTGGGAGGCCTAGTCTATGGATGTGGGTGTTTATAGATAATCCGATAGTATGGTTCTTTTTAGTTTATACTGACCTATGGCTCTCTGATAGACAACCAGGGTATGTTCGGGCAGATATTGAGCATGCCTGCCTTTGCGAATACTGTCCACCCTGAGCAGATTAAAAATCCTACTGCTAGGGGTTTTATGACTGCGTAAGTTAAATCGAAGCCATGGGTGCTAATAGGCATCTATGTATATATATGCAGAAAGCTGATTTAAGTGTTATGATTTTACCCGACAGTATACTCGAACTTGGTGCCTGGGTTGGTGTCCTCCTCAACGGGTACCTAGCGGACTCTTTAGGCAGAAAAAATGCTTGCGTTCTCGCTACAATCGTCTTTTGTATCGGTGTAATAGTCCAAGCTTGCGCAAAGAACGTCGACTATATCTTGGGTGGGCGATTTGTCACTGGTCTCGGCGTCGGTTCTCTGTCTATGGTTGTCCCACTTTACAATGCGGAACTTTCACCCCCAGAGCTTAGAGGTGCATTGGTCAGTCTGCAGCAACTTGCTATCACATTCGGAATCATGATCAGCTACTGGATTGGTTATGGTACCAATTTTATTGGAGGAACTGGCGAGGGCCAATCCGATGCTGCTTGGTTGATACCTATCTGTATTCAGCTTCTCCCTGCCATTGTCCTAGGCATTGGTATCCTATTTATGCCACAATCGCCGAGATGGTTGATGAAGAAAGGAATGGACCAGGAATGTCTCGAGGTGCTCGCAAAACTACGTCGCCGGCCAGAAACCGATGAACTCGTTAAACTCGAATACCTGGAAGTCAAAGCCCAGCATTTATTCGAGGTGCGGACATCCGAAGCAAATTTTCCACAATATCAGCATGGGACATTCAAAGATAACTTCTTGCTCGGCTTTCACGAGTATATGAGCTTTTTCAAGAACAAGTCGCTTTTCAAACGGGTAAATGTTGCAATTTGGATTATGATCTTCCAACAGTGGTCCGGTATAAACGCCATCCTGTATTACGCCGCCTTTATATTTAAGGATCTAGGATTGACGGGGAACACAACTTCTCTGTTGGCATCTGGTGTCGGTGGTATTGCGATGTTCTTAGCTACAATACCCGCCGTTCTGTGGATTGACCAACTCGGACGCAAGCCGGTTCTTATCACTGGTGCCATTGGAATGGCTATCAGTCACTTTATTGTTGCTGGCTTGTTCGGATCTTATGGTAAAGACTGGCCAAACCACCGTGCTGCTGGGTGGGTCGCTGTCGTTTTCGTATGGATCTACGAAGTCCATTTTGGGTACTCATGGGGTGAGTATGGCTCTTTTAGTTTCGTCTATTGTGTAGCCTCATGGGTCGTTTACTGACAATAACTAGGTCCTGGCGCCTGGGTTCTAGTATCAGAGGTATTCCCACTCGGTGTCAGAGCCAAAGGAATCTCTATTGGTGGCTCTTCTAACTGGCTAAATAACTTCGCGGTAAGTATGAATGATGGTATCCGGGACTTGATATGGATGAGAAGCCAAATAACTAATTAATTTTCCTAGATTGGACAAGCCACCCCGGATATGGTTGAATCCACAAAATATGGTACCTTCATTTTCTTTGGTCTGA